ACATTAAGAAGCATGCATAAGATGCAAGAACCAGGATTGACTGCTAAACTTTAAAGGAAAAAGGTAGCGCTATTGCTGTCACGTAGGTTATGAGAACTTTGAAGAAAAGTAGCACATGAAATCAGGTGATGTCTAACAGCTAACATGAAAAGGAAAAGGTTTTCACTATTGTAACACTGGGTGACTTATACAATTATTTAGATAAAAGAAAAAAAAAGCTAAACAGGACAGCTCAATATCAAGCCATGACCAATGACATTGCTTTACCCAGCAAAGGAGGGAACCCTAGATGCTGTTCAAAACATTGGCAACAAGGGAGTCTTATCCAAGGCTTGTAAGATGCAATGTGAATTGCTAAAACCATAGCGGAATATATCCAACCAACAGAAGAGTAAATACATAATTAAAGTGTTCAAATGGGACAGGCTGACTATCACCGAGGGTTTAGCCGAGTGGTGAGGCCTGTGGTTTGCTCCCACGAGGCCTGGAGTTCAGTTCCTAAGGTACCTACCTAGCTATTTGCTACAGTTTCCTGCCTCCCAAGGATTGCAGTGTTCAGCAGAAGGTCCCAGTTCCGATTTCACAATTCAAATATTGAAAAAAACTGAAAGTAATTTCTTTTTGGCCTAGGCACGAGCTCGTGGTTTTTAATTAATTTTTTTCTTTACTTAGTTACAATTTGTAACAAGTAGCATTAACTTCCAACCCCATTATCAGAAACACAACTAAATAGGTCTGTAGTTACCAGTGGCAAACAGTACAACATCTGCTATCAGTTCTTCACCATGATCCGTGATAACTTTTATGCCATCCTCTGTTTTTATCAACTGAATTTGCAGGAATAATCATTAGTACTAGGGCAAACAAAGATTAAAAAAGAGTCAAAACATATACACTATAAAAGTGAGAGTAGCAACAAAGGTACGTCTACACATCCTATGAGTCACAATACCTCTGTCAAATTTGTCTGTGGGTGTAGATCAATTCCCCTTCCTTCCAGATTCCGTGCGACTGCTGCCCTCATTTCATCATCAAAACCTCTGTAGTAGGATATGGACAAATCTAAGTGAGTCACAAATGCTACTGTGTCCTTCACAATAATTTGTAACATGGCATCGGAAACACATTTCAATAAAAAAAAAGGCCTTATTGGCATGGCGTGTACAGTTTTGAGCATCAATTTTCCTAACTTCTTAGTCATTCCCAATAAAAAAAGGCCTTACTGTGCAATAAATTTTTTTTCCAAAAAGCACAAAAAAGTTAAAATTAAACTCAACTCCCAATAAATACCTTAGTGCCTCAAACTTGCAACAAATATTACATATTAGACAGACGAAAGCCCACATGGCAGCGACTCCACTATAAACATCAACAAGGCTAACAGTTCAAAAGGGAAAACGCAATAACATCAAAAATAACAACCTCAATGGAAGT